GGGGTGTTGGGTGCGGGGGTGCGGGGTGCGGGGGCGGGGGTGTTTTGGCGGGGGCGAGGGTCGGGTAGCCCCGCGGCGGGGGTCTGGGGGTGAAACCCCTACCCCGGCTTGGGCCCCGGGGATCCCCGCGTGACAACCCTGTTTTCCTGGGCCTCAGTGACAGGTCTAACATACACTACAAAGACCTGGTCTTCTAACTGCTCCTTTTTGACTAATCGCGCGAGCGCGGGAGCACTGAGACAGCAATGTGCCAAGGTGTTGTCTACACCCGACACATGGAACAAGCGGGCAGTCTTAACTTCGCCTGCCGGGCTAGGAAGCCTACACTCATGCTCTCTTAAATGAAGTGTGGCCCCTGATGCCTCTCCCCAATCCATTCCTAACTCATATCGAAAGGAAGATCATCCTGCACGAGGAGAGTCAAAGAATGGAGGATCTTCTCCACTTTTTCATTCTTCTCTACGCGAAAGTACGCCTGGGCTCCCTCTACGTAGTCCTCAACGCGCATCGTGCGGTTGTCTGTGAGGACACTGACTATAGGGTCTACTAGTTTCTGGACCTTTAGTCCCAGCCTCAGCTTCTTCAGCGCCCTACGGCTAATGTAACTGCGGGTAGCCCCTGAGTCTATAAGGGCCCCTACTCTACTTCTGAACACCTCTACATCTACCAAAATCAGTTGTCCCTTACTCTCCCTTTTCATTTTGGCCCAGACTGGCATCCTCTCCTTTAACTCTTTTGCCACACCTGTGAGGGACGTGCCTAAAGAGACGCTAACACAAACAGTCTCTGGACAACTATGTAGGCACGGGCCTGCAACCTCTGCCATAGGTTCATGTGGGTTGGGAGTGTCCTGTTCGCGCGCGCTCACTTCTCCACATGGCCTGGAAGTAGGGGCAGTTGCGACCCCTACTGGCGGCTGCCTTTTGCCTGTTGGGCAGCCCAACGGGCCTGTCTATACTTGGGACAAAATTTGATTACGTGCCCCGGGTCACCACGAAATACGCACTGACCCTGGTCCACGCGTTGTTGCCATATACGCTGGTCCAAGCCCAAATCTTCCCAGGGCCTGCCCTGCGGCAAGCCTGGGTGCCATCCACCTTGAGGTGCCCTTCCACCTCCTCGCTGTGGGGACCGGAATGAACCTTGGCGATTTGACGGGGGACCTTGACCCCTACCTCCCTCTTGGCGGTTTCCTTGGCCGCCAACCCCCTACGCGCCCGGTCCTCCTCCTCTACCTTGCGGCCTCCCTCCAGCCGCGACAGCAACGTAAGACCTCCCCTGCCCTACACTAATGTACTCCTCCCCTAGGCCCCACTCAATCACATCATATGGGACCTCTTCTGTACCACCCTCCTCTAGTGTCAGGATCAAGTGATCCTTGGCCTTGACTTGGCCCGAGATGGTACGATCTTTCCACTTTTTCCCCTTCTCCAGGTCCTTATGCCTGAAAGTGGTAACTGGCATAGACTTTGACTCATACAGGACGATTTCTCTACTCAATGCATCGTAAGGCATGCCGGCCTGCTGAGATTTGTCAAAGAAATGCCCATGTAGGGCCTCTGGAATGGCACGATAAAACAATTGGACCAATTGGGGCTCAGTGACCCCGTGGTCCGGGACGACTACCAAGTCGTCCATGGTACCCTTGAGTGCCTTGGCACTCCTCCACTGCCGGGAGTGGATCGTTTGAAGCTTATCAGAGGCTCTATTGCCTCGCGTTGGATCAGCGAACCGCTCCTTGAGGAGCTTGAGGAATTGGGAAAGAGGAGTGACTTTGGAATATGCAACGAGGTTGTTTTCACAACCGGATCCTCAACCTTACTTGGTCCGGTAGGGGAGTGGTTCAAACAGGCCCTCAACACTTAAAGACGGCCTCCGTTTCAGCCTGCAGCTCAGAGTTCGGACCCTCTACACTGAAACTGAGCAGACCTGCCGGACAATACCGGTCATTGGGCTAGACGAGTTGTTTAACGAGCGCTCGCCGGTCATGCCCAGGTCTCCAAATACCAGAGTAGAGATTAGTCCTACTAAGTCCCGTGCAGGTTTGGCAGCAAGGCCCTATCCTTCATCCACAGAGTTCTAGCACCTAGGACAGAAGAGACTCGATGCAGAAAGAATAGACAGACTGACTTGACTCAGCAAGTACCGGGGGCTATGTGCACATCCATAGGGCAAGGGGCAGGCTAAGGGCTTGGCGAGATGTTACCAACTCCAGCTTGGTCAAAGTCTTGGTCAACGCCTTGGTCAATGCTGGTCAACGCTGCTATGACCCTCGGTCAACTTCGGTCAACTCCGGTCAACGCCTCCGGTCAACCCTCTCGGTCAACTCCCCGGTCAGCTATGGCTGCCGGCTCTTCTTCCTCGCCAATCCCCTTCTTCTTCCTTGCCTCCCTCGCCTCCTTTCCCCTGCTGTCTTCTTCTTCCTTT